AAATCATTCAAATACTACGGAGCCTTGAGGGATTAGGTGGTTTGTGTTGTAAAATCCTCCGACCGACCTCTACCCCACCCCCCTCCCCTTTCTGGAGATAAAGAAATGACTGGTCTCTTAGTACGGACAAGTGAGTCTTTACACCTCTTGGAGGTACCTTTGCTTTGACGTCGAGTTAAGCCTCCTTAAAATCTCCTAGTACAATCATTCAGGGAGGACTTACAGACTATTTCAATTTATTTCTCGGTTTTAGTTTGCGGTTGGTTTGCTAGTTTGAGTTTGTTTTTACAACCGTTGCTTTTAGAAAAAAGTTGTTTAAGGTAATTTCATAACAATAGTTCACTTACAAATGCAAATTTCATTGGGAAAACTTGGAATGGAAATGCTGAGACAAATTTGTTAGAAGATGTGGTAGCAATGTTAAAAAAACACATTACAGCAGGGTTGACGTGGCCATTTCACACAAGAAATTTAAAAACAATGAATTTCAGTACATTTTGATATATAAAAAGCTCAAGGTAAAACTATTTCTAAAGTGATTTTAAATCAATTTATTTGTAAATACTTGAAATGTAAATGATTATGTACACAGCCTTTTCATTCCCGTTCCGTACCCAAACTTCATTAGTATGGATACGGAACGAATTAACTAACTGAGTACGAATGGTCCTTGCTGGGTACGAAACAACTGGTATCCGCCCGAGGTTGTCGGTGAACTGGCCTAGCACGGGATGTCGGCAAGCTGGACCAAGTTGTCAGCGAGCGGGCCTAAGTAATCGGCAAACTGGCCTAGGTTGTCGGCACTAGCCTAAATCGTCGGCAAACTGGCCTAGGACACAGACACAAAACACAACATCGACGTATATTTCAATAAGTCGATAGAGTTTAAGCATATTACATAAGCATACTACATAATACTCTACTCATGATATTCTTTTCAGTGCTTATATTGCATTTTGGTATTTACATAATCTCATTGTAATGGTTTCTGAAAAACCATCAGTGTACGAAACCAATAAAGTTATTATTATTATTATTATTATTATTACTATTATCAGTATTATAGATCGAAAGTCTATCTGATTTGATTAACCACATACAGCTGACTCGAGGTGACTAAGAAGGAAGGATTTAAGTCAGCGCTGACTTTGATTGGTAAAAGTAAGTTTCAGTTTTGTGTCCGAGACTTAATCAGCGAAAATATTCCATTTAAACATGTTAAAGCTCACAATAAAATTGAACACCTTAGGTTTCACTTGATCAACCACATTGTCTTCAATGTTTGTTGCCTACTTTATCCCAGTGAGTCGCCTGCGGGGATGCGCTTTGAGTGCGCTCCGAAGCGTCTGGCGACCGAGCAGTAAAAGCGAGTGACAAAGCCGAGGACGATTGTGACGGGAAGTAAGACGCGCACTAAAACTGCTGGCTGTCTGCTGCGCCGTGGGTGGGGAATATACGACCACTGCAGCACAAGATGTACAGAGACCGTGTTTGACGAGGGTGCAGCCAAACGATTGGGTGTATGTCATATCTTTAATAAAACAGTATATTATTTAAACTTATGACTTTTCAATTAACACCTCGCTCAAGGTAAGTGTGATTTTTTTCCCCTTTGTTATTAAGGATTATAAGAAATCGACCTTACTTTAAACATGCTAAACATGGAAAACAAACTTCGTTAGTATGGGTATGGAACGACTTAACTGTGTACGAATGGTCTTAGCTGAGTACGAAACGACTGGTATCCGCCCGAGGTTGTCGGTGAATTTCTTTGGGTTGTTGGCGAACTGGCCCTAGCATGGGATGTCGGCAAGCTGGCCCAAGTTGTCAGCGAGCGGGCCTAAGTAATCGGCAAACTGGCCTAGATTGTCGGCACACTGGCCTAGCTTGTCGGCAAACTGACCAAGGTTGTCGGCAAACTGGCCTAGCTTGTCGGCAAACTGGCTAAGGTTGTCGGCAAGCAGTCCTAAGTTTTCGGCAAACATCCCTCAGTTGTCGGCGAACTGGCCTAATTTGACGCCGAACAGGGCTAAGTTATCGGCGAGCGGGCCTTAGTAGTCGGCAAACTGGCCATGAACACTATTGAACTAGTAGCTGAAATAAGGCCTGAAAAATAATTAGGTCCTAAGTTGTCGGCAAACTGGCTAAGGTTGTCGGCGAGCGGGCCTAAGTTAAACGTCAACTGCCCTGAATTGTTTGTGAACTGGCTTGGGTTGTTGGTGAACTGGCTTGGATTGTTAGTGAACTGGCTTGGATTGTTGGTGGTTAAGGTTGTCGGCAAACTGGCCTAGGTTGTCGGCGAGCGGGCTTAAGTTAAACGTCAACTGACCTGGATTGTCAGTGACCTGGCTTGGGTTGTTGGTGAACTGGCTTGGGTTGTTGGTGAACTGGCCTGGGTTGTTTGTGAACTGGCTTGGATTGTTAGTAAACTGGCTTGGATCGTTGGTGATCTGGCTTGGATTGTTAGTGAACTGGCTTGGATTGTTGGTGAACTGGCTTGGATTGTTAGTGAACTGGCTTGAGTTGTGAGTGAACTGGCTTGGATTGTTAGTGAACTGGCTTAGGTTGTGGGCAACTGGCCAAGGTTGTCTGCAAACAGGCTTAAGTGTAAGCAAACTTGCCTGGGTTGTAGGCAAACTGGCTTAGGTTGTCGGCAAACTTGCCTAAGTTGTCAGCAAACTAGCTTATAATTGGGAAGAAATGGTCAAGAATGGTCTATTGTTCCGGCTCAATTCTTACATTAAGTATTAAACGTTAGTCCTTTGGTTATTTGTAGCGCTGAGGGACTTTGGCCAAAGCGACGCGAAAGAGTTCATGACTAATCAGAAAAATTATCGGTGTATTTAAACCTCTCTCTGCGTACTTTTTTCTTTATCAGACAGTTTGTTATCATGCTCGTGATAAACAGATCGGATTTCCGCTGCGCGGTCATCCGATTTTGTTATCACTCGTATAATTACAGACCGAATTGGACTCCACTTAGTCCTGTTACCATTAACTATTATGTACACAAAGAATCAAGTCTAACTTGCGTAGCGCGCGAGATTTGAACTGCTTTCATACTGTGAAAGATAAATCTGGGCGCGGCGAAG